TTGCAAGGAGAGCTTAACTTCTGTCTCGCTAGCTTGCCCTGCGCTCTTCCTTCTGACTATGCTGTCTGTGTGGAGCGCTCAGTGGATCTGCGCTCGACAGTGCAGCCTAGGCGGAGTAGTCGAACGCAGATTCACTGAGCGCTCAACACAGAAAGCATCGTCAGAAGGAAAGTTGATAAAATAAATTACAAATGTTGTATTGTTCGATACATGTGCGTACCGAACCGAAAGCACTGTATCGAACGGTTCAATATCGATACAAATATCGTTGCACCCCTAATTTTTATATAACTTTAATGCACATAAAAAACAGCTGCTTGTTTAAGTGAAAATACATTGATGGTTTTTTTTTGCACTAATAAAGTTGTGGAGTTGTAAAGTATTTTGTCTAGTGTCAATTATATCGTCAGTTATATCGTTATCGCAAATTTTCAAATGCATATCGTGATAAATATTTTTGGTCATATCGCCCTGCTCTAGTGTTGACACACACCTGAATGCCCCAGACCTGCAAACTACCAAAACTTCTGTTGTTATAGAGCTGTGCACACTTGCTGATGATCAATTAAACAATTGCATTTCATTAGCAAATTACATAATCATGCCACATAGTCACATAAAATGTGCCTAAATTATTTTGTTATGTTGACCTCGAGGTCAAATATAGTTGTCATGGGTAAATGTTGCGATCTTATATTAATATTTTTAAGCCACTACTTTCTTTGTCACTGCTCATACATAATATGTAACAATAATAATAATAAAGATGGATGGATGGATAAGTAACTTTGTAATGTAGTTACTCAAAGATATGGAGAAACATATGGAGAAAATAGCCACCTAATATGCTGCCTTTGCAGATAAATTTAGCAAATAGCTTTGAAACAGTGCCACATTGTTCTCCACTGAACTTAACTGTAAGAGTTTTGAAACTCTTGCCAAATCATTTACACTGCAACTTTAAATAATGAAAAAAAAAAGTAGAAATTGGAGATGGTGGGTAGAGTGCTACTGAGGAGGCAGAACAAAAAGGGATTGTGCAGGTGATGGGGGAAAACAACAAAGCCTTTACTATAGATTTTCCAACAAATTAATCACTGTGCGGGATAGTGAATAACAACAGCAAAGCAAAGAAAGGCCCTGACTGTGTGGGTGAGATGCTCCCTTGCCATTTTGTCTTCAGTGGGTTTTGAAATAGAGGACCTGTCAATTTGTGTTCCTTCTTTTAATGCCCCTAGTTAATCTTGAGGAAGGTGGAGTCTGTAATGTACCTAAAAAGGGCAAGTTTCTAATTGAGCAAACTATCTTACTAGAGTTTATTGCCCCCTCAGGGCCAATTTAGCTTACAGGCAGCAATCAGTAGTAGTGAAAATACTGCAATCAATCAATCAATCAATCAATACTATACATGCAAACATAAACAGTTACTACACAGATTACGGCAGTATCCGGATTATTATTGACACTCCTCACAATCTCACAACCAGAGCTGGCGACAGTTCAAAAACAAATTACATTTTGTTTATATAGACTTTCTGTTATTGTCATTAATACCACGACTGCATCAATGTAGATTTTGAATAATGTTATTGATACATACTTTTACAACACTCTCGGATTATCCTGTATAGAAAATAGTCCAACGATTTGATTGTTTAACAATTTGATAATAATCATCGTCATTAAAAATAAACTGGTTTTTATAAACGGTAATGAATGGGTGTTGTAAGAGTACTGTCTCGGAAACATCAAGCAAATGAACTAAAATGAATAAAAATTATAGGGAACCAAAGAGAAGCAGCATCAGTTGGGAAGCGAATGACAAAAAAACACTCTTGCAAGGCTTTGATCAGCATGCATTTTTATTATGTGGATTAAAATGTATACCTAAGTGCACCAATGCGTGTTGAAAATGTGTCCTTTACAAATGGAGGGACGGGAAAAATTAATAGCGTGTTGTTTTTGATTAGCTGTGAGCACTTATTGTGATGTATAGCTTACACATGGCAGGCATAGACTCAAATTAACCATCCTTCTCCAGATGGAGGTTCGTGTGTTGAGAGCAGTGACTCAGTCTTTGTGCACAGGTTGCTGATTTTTTTCAAAGATGGGTGAGACATCAGATTTAACAAGGCATTTGAAAGTGCTTTGCATGCATTTAAGAGCAGAGGCTTGCTTCACTAGCTAACATTAAGGCTTGTCAAAAAAAAAAAAAGAATCTGGGCAGCGTAGCTTATTGACGCTATCCCAACCATCGAAACACTGAAATATTATTGCAGTGTGATTACTAAGGGCCAATAATTCCAACATTCTCTCTTCTGAGTTGTCAAAATATTTGTTTTTTTTCCAGTAAATGCTCATACTCAATACCTTTTAAGGAATAGAGAAAGGCAAACAGACCAAGTTCAGTAACTACAAAGTTTTCCAGATAATTTCATTTGTTTTACAGGTGATGCCCTCCAGTATGTAGGCTGAACCAAACATTAATAAATGGACATTGGTAGCTTATGTAACTGCGGCAAGTGTAATAAATAAAAAAAACTGAGGAAATGTAAACCATTAAAGGAATTAAATCAAGAAGGACAGATGCAGTTGCAAAAATTGCAGTATGTTGATTCTAAACTATTGGTTGAGGTTTAGAGAAGTGGAGCAGCCATTCCATTTTTGTGGTATGAAACATATGAATTCAGATTTTGAGCTGCTTAGCTTTTTGCTGTTACTCTGCAACCTACAAAATTGTTTTTTTGTCATTTGGAAAGGACAATCTGACATTTTGGTTGCTTTTTTGATGAGTAATGACTTCACTAGAAATGTATTTTCATATATCTGGGAGCTGACGAAGGCTGCATAAGACCTTTTGCCCCTAATGTATAGACGCTAACTCCTGTTGCTCTTTTCTGCCATCATCTTTGTTCACACAATGTTAAAAGGTCACATGAAAAATGCATGAAGTTGGCTTAAGCATCTTACCACTCGTGCATGAGGAAGTCGGTACACAGAGTCTCCTCTGTCAGACAAGGGGAAGGATCTCAGTAGGCTAGCTAAGACAGTCGGCCTCCAAGGGGGTAAAAATAACTGATTCATTTTTTAAAAGGTTCACGAAAAAACTACTCAAGCTTTTATGTGTTGCCAGTGACTCGCTGGTATGTCATACTCCTCTTGAACTCGGCAGCTTAAAACAACCACTCTCCAGATGTTGTGTGTGCGGGTTGTTTTAAGATTTTATGTATTCATGTTTATGCCCCAAAGATTTGCAAGATTCGTTTTTTAACCATTCTTACCAGATGAAGTTGTGCCATTAAGGTCTGATAAAGTGAGAAAAAGAGAGCAGTGTTTGTTTGTGCCAGTTACTTTGGTCGTAGCCCAGACTAAGGGTAAATACAACCTCTAGCCTCTGACCGGTGTGACAAAACCTCCCAAAAACGAACAAAATCAGAAAAGAAAGGAAAAATAACATTTACAACCCTAGTGCTAAACCTAATTTAATCCTAAGTTTTGGAAGGCAGTAATGAACTTTTGGTGGAAAAGATTTCAACGGTTTTTGATGGGAGTCAGAATGAAGAATTTAGTTGTTCGCTGCTTGCTGAGATTTAGGAAAACAGTTGAATTAAAACAAAAATTTTAAATGCTGATAGTTTAAAGTTAGGGTTTGGGTTACAGTTGCTGTATACTTGTAGTATACTTGTACTATATTTTTGCGATTAGTCGACTAATCAGATCATGCATCCATTGGACGTAAAACGTACAGCTTATTGCACCAGCATGCGTCTGCTCTTATATAACTATCATTAGCTTACAGTTTTAAGTGTTTAAGGTATGTGCTAACTAAAAATAAAGACAAGATGATAGTTTATTAAATTTTAATGAAATTTGCAGATTGTTTCGGTGAAGTTTAATAAACTCCTTGCTATCTAAAATATAACAGGACACCGGAGTATATTCTCGAGCATCTCACACTTCTGATAATCAGTTGTCTTCTTGATGTTTATTCAGCTGTGTAAAAACTATAACTTTAATCTCAGCCAAACCGATTTACTCAGGAACAAAGAAAATACTAAAAAAGCCAAACAATAACATTTTGAAGTTATCTAAGTGACTTATATATATTTAACCTGAGTAGCGAAAGACTGCAGTTGGTTTGAAAACGATTTGCAGGGAGTCCGGTGTTCTCACGGTGTTCTCACGGGCTCTAGTGAGCTTTGCCCCCGGCTAGCTATCGAGCTGGTGGGTAACAGACGTCTCCGAAAACGTCAGAGCGCTTTTGAAAATATGTGGTGTCTTGATAAACTGAGCAGATATTTGAGGTTTACACAGCTACATTCTCGCCTGAAAATATGTTAAACGTTTATTTTGTGACCCAGAAAGAATAATAAGAGTAATATTAAAACTAACTAGCTACCGCCATTGTTGTAAACTGAGCTGGGCTGCACTATGAATTCTGGGACACAGCTTCTTCTTCTTCGGGGTTTAACGGCAGCTGGCATCCTTGTACATGCAGTGCTGCCATCTTCTGTTTCAGTCCGTTATTGCACTCTTAAATCCTACTATTTATTCCTGCGTCTTTTGTGAGCTTACAAAGCTTCAAACAACGCGTCGACTATTAAATCAGTCATCGACGATTTTGATAGTCGATGTAATCGTAACTAGTCGACTAATCGTGGCAGCCCTAGTTAATAGACACATTTTAGAATATAAAATTATGTAATACAACTTCTTTTTGTAAAATATGGAACACATTTCACAATAGTATTAGAAATACTCATTTGTCTCCACATTGTAAGCATTTGTGAAGGTAGGTCTTCTTCAATTTACTATGGATTTTTTTTCTTTGGTTACAAATATAATCTCTTTGTATTACATTATAAAATATTTTTTTCTAGATTTCAACTACATATGTTTTATATGTAACCGAAACATATTCTCCAGTCTTTGAATAGCCATCATGTCTTCAGTTGTCTTTGTCTCTAAATACACTATTTCGTTCCCTAATTCTTTCTCAGTGGTCGTGTGAAACCAATGCTTGGCCGGTTCAGTGAGCTTGAAGACCTGCTGTCAAACATGAACGTTAAGCCAGGCAGCATTGATGCTGTCCTGTTGGATGCTGGCTGTTCCTCCATGCAGATGGATGAGGCAGAAAGAGGCTTCTCCCTGAGCAAAGATGGACCGTTGGATATGAGAATGGATGGAAACAGGTAAAAGATTTGATACATACATTGGTTGGCTTATTGTGATATGCTGGATAATCAGAAGCGCTTGTGCGGTATTAATCAGTGTAATAATGTGAAAGTGCAGATAGTACAAAAAGGCGTACCTAAAATGGGTTACCAACAGCATGGGTCCAATTAATGTTATTTGTTTCTCCTATAAGTGATGACCTGAAGGCGTGAAAAAAATGTTTGTTTGTTTTTTTAAACAATGAAAACAAACCCATTTTTAGTCGACCTCTAGTGGTTATGTTAAAGAAAGCGTTCACCAAAAAAACGTTTGTCCTGTTCCTACATTGAACATTTGCAGAGTGTTTGTGAAGCAAAACTAACCCTCCAATCTGATCAATGAAACTGGCTGTGCCAGGCATGAAAGCACTTTGCATTACAAAAGTTCTATTCTTTTTATATTGTTTATCTTAGATGTGCTCGGGACTTGTACACAGTAACAGGGCAAAAAGTAAACTGATGGTATATGTAAGAAGGGAGCTAGCATTGCGATTTCATTTGGTAATTTTGTAGTTATACCCTTTAGATAATTTACTGTAATTAGTAGACGTTAACATACCCATGTTACACAATCTCAGCAAGGAACTCATTCACTGAGATTGTGATTGGGCTAACATAAAAAAAAACACAGTACATTCAATTCTTCCACAGATGTCAGCATCAGTGTACTAATACCTCAGTCACACTTAGTGACTGGGCTAGCTACATTTGAGTTCCCTGACTGATTGGTGAGTGGTTGATGGCAGTCACAAGGTAAATTTGTCCCAATGAGATGTATGGTGCAATTGCTGTGGTTATGCACTGATTACCATGGTTGGCTCTAGTATCCATGGGAAACTTTGTTTACAAACTACTGTAGCTACGTTCTGAGTTGTAGTGAAACTGAACAGAGGCACACAAAAACGTGTTAAAATGTGTTGGCTACAGTGGTGAAAAGCTCTGTTATTTTATGTTTCCATTTTTCCTCAGTGAATTGTTGTCTCCAGGACCTGTTACGTCCATACGACCTGTTTATGTCCATGTGACTGGGACCTAAACCTTTCAGAAGACATTCTAAAACCCTTATTCTAGCCTGATTTAGCCATTTCTTTACCACGTTTGATGTGTGTTTGGGGTCATTGTCCTGTTGGAACACCCAACTGCACCCAAGACCCAACCTTCGTGCTGATGATTTTAGGTTATGTTGAAGAATGTGAAGGTAATCCTCCTTCTTCATTATCCCATTTACTCTCTGTGAAGCACCAGTTCCATTGGCAGCAAAACAGCCCCACAGCATAATACTCCCACCACCATGCTTGATTGTAGGCATGGTGTTCTTGGGGTTAAAGGCCTCATCTTTTCTCCTCCAAACATATTGCTGGGTATTGTGGCCAAAAAGCTCGATTTTTGTTTTGTCTGACCACAGAACTTTCCTCCAGAAGGTCTTATCTTTGTTCATGTGATCAGCAGCAAACTTCAGTCGAGCCTTAAGGTGCCGCTTTTGGAGCAAGGGCTTCCTTCTTACACGGCAGCATCTCAGTCCATGGAAATGCAAAACACGTTTGACTGTGGACAATGACAACTGTGTTCCAGCAGCTTCTAATTCTTGGCAGATCTGCTTTTTGGTGATTCTTGGTTGACTCTTCAACCCCCTGACCAATTTTCTCTCAGCAGCAGGTGATAGCTTGCATTTTCTTCCTGATCTTGGCAGTGACTAAACAGTGCCATGCACTTTATACTTACAAACAATTGTTTGCACTGTTGCTCTTGGGACATGCAGCTGCTTTGAAATGGCCCCAAGTCAATGAGCCCTATTTAACTGGCCTAAGAGAAGTCACCAGCTGTAGTCACTCATAATCACTCACAAGAAGTTAAGAGGCTATGCTATGAAGCTCAGTTCGCTGACAGCTTTCTAAGTCACCAAAATTGCTAATTCATGTTGCTGTATGTATATTTTTGACCCAGCAAATGTCATCACTTTTTTCTGTTAACCCATAATAAAGTCATTAAAGAACCAAACTTCATGAATGTTTTTTGTGACAAAGAAGTATCTGTTCCAATCACTCTATCAGAGAAAAATCAGAGTTTTAGAAATAACGGGACACTCAGTAGAGCCATTATATCATATTCTTTACAAGTGTATGTAAATGTTTGACCACAACTGTATTTTCCAAACCAAAAGATCAATTTCTCCCTTTTGGTCTTATCCAATAAAGTATGTATTTCCCAAGTAGTAAAATGTACTACATTATGATTTGAAACCTAATTGCAGACAAAGTATGTTTAACATTTATCGATCTAAAATGTGTCAGTTTTTATATATTATTTTATAGAAATATCCATATTCCTTCCCGAATATTTTCAGAAACATTTCTGCATCACTTTAAAATGTCAGCATAATCCACAAAGAAACTCCTTTACAAGCTGATGCAAAAGCTGCTTTTCTCTTTTCCTTCCCTCACAATCATTCTATTCATGACTGTCATAAAGGTTTTCAGCTGTAGCTCAGAGTTGTCAGGATTCACCACTGTCAGCAAGGACATGACGTCAAGCGACTTAATTGGGCTTCTCTTTGTGCGTAGGTACCCCGACATGCCCTGCGCCGCTGACGTTGTGAATACCTTAGATCAACAGGCTCTTGCATCCATCCTCACTGCATATGGGGAAGAAAGACACGCCAGGAAAATAGCTTCAGCCATTGTGGAGGCACGCCGTGTCAGCCCCATCACCCGGACACAGCAGTTGGCCAGTGTGGTTGCAGGTAAATAGACACCACCCTGATTAATTCCCTGCAGCATTCAGGAGGCTATAAGGGAAAATAAAAAAGGAGTGGAGTTATTAAGGCTGTCTCCCAGTGGGATGTGTGTGTCTCAGAAAATTATGTGAACTGTGATCTCAGTCATCATCCTCTCTTGTGCCTCTGTTTTGGGTGTTTTTATTCCACCATCCTTGGAGAGATAAAGATGAGGCAGAAACTGAGTTGTAGATGGCTGGAATAAAATGTGTGCCTAACTCACATGCAGGAGCCCATCTCTCTCCTTCCACACTGCCTACCTTTTTTGTTTCCTTTCCCCCTCTTTTTTCCCCGTCTTTTCTTTGCTCACAAATACAGACATACACCTGACACAAATGCAAACGCCCACATGCACTCACAAATGACACACGAGTTGCATTCAACCGGGGTTAGATTATTTGTCTTCGATGATTGTTTTTTTTCCTTTTTTTTTCCTCTTAAGCCTTATGACTCCACATTTGAGATGCTGAATGGGAGAGATGTCGTTGCAACAGTTATTGCACAGAGCAGTATGTGCGTCAGTGTCACCCTGGGAGAACAGGTGTGAGTAAGAGCAGCTGTTTGATGCTTTTTGAAGAGCAAAGCGAGCTACCACCAGTGTTTATTGGGAACAATCTAAGAGGTCTGGTTTTTTTAAGAAAGTTCCAGGGGGAGCTCTCTGACCAGTTGTGACAGTGATACTCGGCATCATTTTCAGAATAAATGACGAGGGGCTTATGCTTTTCTTTTTTAGGGATAATGTGGGACATTACTCAGCAATACACAAATATATTTAAAGTTGGTTTTTTTTTGTTTTGTTTTTTTTACATGGACACAACAAATAAGTTCTGCAGAATATTTTTAACTTTCATTTGTTTTCAGTCATTAATTTACTGAAATTTTATAGCAATAGGTAAACAAAGAACCAGGGCTCAGGATCTGTATACACTAATGGGTCCAAATACAAATGATCTACAATAGATGAAGCATTTAAGACCAATGCTTAACCATCTTCCCACACACAGATCAAAAAAATCAAACAAAAATGACCTAAAAATCCAACTTTTGAGTTGCATAAAAATAAATATTAAACAAATAGAAAATAGGATGACTGAATAAAAGCATAATAATAATAATGATAATAATAATAATAACTTTATTTACATAGAACTTTTTCAAACACAGAAAATGCTTCAAAGTTTAAATTAAAACACATCAACAAAGTGAACATATTCCAACACACACATACACTGTGTGTGTGTGTGTGTGTGTGTGTGTGTGTGTGTGTGTGTGTGTGTGTGTGTGTGTGTGTGTTGGGTGCCTTCTTTTTCAAACAGAACCATAACATCTTTTCAGCTTTATAAATTTTGAATTAGAAATGTATTTATTTTAACTAATAAATTGATTTACAAACCATATTTTTCCAACAAGCTTTTTGTTTTTTAGATTTTAGATTGAGAGTTGATTGGTTGTTGTATTTACAACAGAGGTTTAAAAATGCTTTCTAAAACTGTTATCGTGATTTGGTGCTGTATATCTAAAATTGAATTTGTGTTGAATGGAATTGAATTGATATGACACACACATGTAAGAGCACAGGGATTCACAGAAAATATTGCAAATGGACAAAGCTCCTGTAATGACAGGTATAAATATGGCTGTGTGATGACATCACGTCAGTGCACAAAGCGACCAATGTGGTGAGCATAAATTGGCCATTAAGCAGCACAAGCTGATAGAAGAAACATTAAGTGACATTTAAAGCCTGGGAATAAACGGGGCGTGGCTGCGTCGTATTGGAGCTGCGACATGGCTACAGGGCGTAATCGCTCCCGCTCTTTGTTTCCCAGAGGAGCAGCTCATGATCTGAAATATATCACATCATCTGTCAAACATGGTGGAGTCAATGTTATAGCACGGGCATGTGTGGCTGCCGATGAAACCGAGTGATAATGTGACTGCTGATAGAGGAGGCAGGATGAACTGTGTGTAGAGGGCTACACTCTCTGGTCAGATTCAGTCAAATGCTGCAAAACTGTATAAACAGCTTACTGTAAAAAACACTGTGTATAAAAGTGTGTATAAGAATGGCTATGAAAATTTCTTAACCTAATGCAATACTTTTAATAAACCTCTTAAATCAAAATCGATAATTTGTAGTTAAATCACATTTTGATTGTTTGATTTAAAATCTGCCAAAACATTAACATTGCTTTGGTTCACTCTTAACTACCTGATTCTCCTTCATGTACACATCATAATCTCTTCTGTTCTCAATGGATCTGTCTTCAGGACCTTTTGAAAGATGAATTAGAGAGGGTGCACATAGCTTGGTGAGGCTAGCCCTGGGCTGGTCCTTGCTGTGCAGTCATTGTATTGATTGCAGTGTGAGTCACACCTTGGGCTGTTCAGTGCAGGAGGAGAGAAATGCCACATCACTCACTTCTCTATTTATTGCGGTTTCTTTTTTGGTCTATGTAAGTGTCTAATTGTTCTTGTCTCTTCTGTGTTGTGGTTGGTTAGAGGCATTAAAAGCTCTTCACTTGTTTTAATGCAAAAAGAAAGATTTTGAAACTTTATTATGCAGCAAATAATCAGTTTTTAGTTTTTGCTTTAATACCCACATGATTTGATTGATTTGACATGACTGATTTGCACATTAGCTCTGTGCATTCTGCACCCTGTATATGTTACTCGTGCACAGTTTGGTAAGTGCAGTTGCTCTGGAAACTTTAAATATTTGGTGAGTGTCTGCAGTTTACAATGCTCTGTATGGCACATGCATTTTGACCACAGGCTCAAATAAATTAAAGGGGTACAAGAAGTTTTGTAAGAAAAAGATTTCTTCCTCTGAATGTCAGGTGCAAATTATTCAGGAGTGCAGAAATGTTAAGGCAGCTTGATTTATTTTATTCTGGGAAATGTTTTCATTCAACGGGTTTCTTTTATTTTCCTGAAGAGAGAGGATACTGGGAGTTATTTTAACATTTCCAGTGTTATTCTCATAAGGATAACACCTGAGGGCTGTTGAAGTTAGGGCTGCTCAATTAATCGAATTTTAATCACGATTACGATCTGGGCTTTCAACGATCATTAAAAATGACTGAGCCGATTATTAGCCCCTCCCT